AAAAAAAAAAAAAAAAAAAACAAACAAAGCAAAATCGCATAGTTAACCCACAGAACGGATATATACATGTATGAGTGCAAGACCCAAATACAAGTATCTCCATTTACATTAGGGAGGACGCGGCGCACACATGCGCCGCAGTCGGTGAATGTACAAAGGGAGGGGTGTGTCCACGGAGAAGATCTTTACAAAATAATTCTGTATCACCCATCCCCAGTCATTATTAGCACGTTTCGCGTTTGCCTGTCCAACAAGTATGGTGGCCGCTTCCACACCAACACCAACACCATTATCATCATCATCATCATGAGTGGTATTGCCATTCTGAGTATTTCTCTCATTCTCCTCATTGGACTCTCCCACCACCCATCGTCCATTTGCAGTCGTGTTTTTATGAGTGGCAGCAATAGCAGCGAGAGATCGCAGGGTCGTATCAGGTTCAGCGTTAAATGCACGTTCGGCAGCACTGTTAGCTGATCTACCATTTCCTGAAGAAGCAGTATTAGTAGAATTGCCAGTCACTTTACCAAGACGTCGTTGGACCTTTAATGGAGGAAACGTCTCTACCTCAAGTTCCGTACCTCCTTTAAGTAACTGATACGTAAAGGGAGGGAATCCATCAGCACTGCTCTGATTATTATTATGATTATGATTATGATTATTATTATTATTATTATTATTATTATTATTATTATTATTATTATTATTATTACTGCTATTGTTATTCAATGGACTGGGTATTGGATGAATGATTAGTGTACCATTCTCTGTAAAGGTCACAGGATGACTGTTACCTGTGAGACGAAAACAAACAAACCATGTCGTCTCCATCAAACCCTGCACCGTCAAACGCTCACACCGTGAGTCACGCAGAGACATATAATATGCGAACTTCCACGAAACTGGAAGATACATTCCCTCATCATCATCATCATCATCATCATCATCATTATCATCAACATCGTTTTCTTTTGATATTTCTTTTTTTTTGTCATTTCTGTCATCGTTGTTGATATTGTCATTGTTATTATATTCTTCTTTTTTTCCCTGCTCATGTGTTGCTAATATACTTGTACTTTGTCTTTTATGCAACAACTGTAAACTCAGAGCGCGGGTCATGGCCATCTTTTCTTCATACTCTTGATATGGGTTTTTGAGATATTCTTTACCCACAAGACTTTCACTTTCACTTTCACTCTCACTTTCATCATCATCATCCTCACTTCCATCTTCTTCTTCTTCTTCACTCCCATCATTGAGACCATTTTCTGATATACTTTCCGTTAATGTCTGACATACAGGTTCTGACTGCACACTACTTGTCAGCGTTTTCACAGGATGAAGAAAACGTCCCATTAAATGAGAATCCATACAAGAAGAACGACCACTCCTACTGCTTTCATATTCGTTACCTGGATAAGAATGGGAGGTAAAAGTGATAGACTTTTGTTTTCGAACATAATTTGAGGCTTCACTACGACCCAAGTCAATGTGAAAAGAACTGTTTGTCGTCTTATCATCATTATCGTCATCAATACCATCTAGGAGAAGAGGACTCATCCCACCTGGAAGCTTCTGCTGCTGCTGCTGCTTTTGTTGTTGTTGTTGTTGTTGTTGTTGCTTTTGTTGTTGTCGGAGTGATTTCCTTGCAAGACGAGAGAGATGTTGTTGCTGGACGTCGTTTTTTATTTCCCACCAGTAGAATTTCCGACTTGATGTAGTGACTCCTCCAGATGAAACGGAAGAAGCAGTAGAAGTTCCAGGTAAAAAATTTCCTTGTAGAGGGGAAACCAAAGTTTTTTGTAGAGATAATGGAAGTTTCGTCATTTTGATGGCTTCGTATGTTTCTGTGTTTCTTAACGGAAAAGCATTCCAAAGCTCTTGTTGTTCTTCTTGACGACGTAAACCCCTGGTTTTATTAAGCATTATTCCTGTCGTAGTTGTACTGCTATCACTATGGCATGTTGTTGCACCTAATGATGTCGCTTCACTTCCATAATCATGCCCTACTTGCTGTGATACTAATAACAGTTCTTGCTCTTTTATATGTCTTTCCTTTTCATTTTCAGCGACACTCCATTTGTATTTTACCGCATCTAAAGCAGTAGCCGTTGTTTCTCCAAGATATTCACCCTTTAGGATCTGTTGCTGTAAATAAATAGCCTCCAGTTCTTCTTCTTGACACTTCTTTATGATTGCGGACCAATCCCCCACCAAACGCATAAATCCTTCCTTGTCAGACCATAATGAGAAACAAGCCGATTTCCAAGCGGTATGGTCTGATGCATTGGCAATACAGTAAAAAAAACGGGATACGCCAAGCATCGTACACAAGTCTTTTGGTGGAAGAAAAGAAAATATATGTTCAAGTACCGTTACCGGTAGCTTATACATACAAGAATTCCAGAAGTGTAAAGAAGTACACGATCTACCACGTTCCTCTCCTCCTTCTTCTTGCTGTTCCTTTTGGGGACCTTTCAATATTTCATGCAACGCTTCAGGGTGTGAAATTAATGTATGTGATATCACGGGCCGAGAGGTGCGCTCACATACAGAGTCGACAACATATTCACTGTTGCTGTTTGTACTCTTCAATACGCACCTCCCGCCTCGATTATCATCCGTTGCTGGCGCTTCAGCAGAGGCTGAAACGCCATCTGCTGGTGGGGGCGTTCCCACGCCTTCCATTAGAATTTACTCCAGTTTTATTTTTTCCTTTTTTCACGGTTCGGTCCGTCACTCCTTTACTTTTCTGTTTATTTCCTATCGTCTTCTTTCTTCTTTCTCACTTTGCTATTTTCTGGATATATAAGTAAATATATATTTATATACGTAACTTTCTTGGTCTACTGTTTTTTCTCTTTTTGTTATCGTTACCTTGTTCTTCCCGCCCTTTCAAACTATACGCCGCAGAGAAAACAGGGCATGTAATTAAAAAAAAAAAAAAAAAAAAAAAAAAAAAAAAAAAACATTTCTTTTGTCATGTCGTAATGAAATCAATACGTGTAAATCTGCAGAGGTTTATCGGGAAGAGTAAAAAAATCAAACAGCACTTGCAAGTAAATGAGTAGAGAAAAAAAACTATAATAATAATGATAATAAAAACAATAATAATAATGGTCGAGAAGGATAAAGAGTGGAATAAAAGGAGATTAAAAAATCAGCAAAACCTTTTTTTTTTTCTTTCTCTCTCACTTTCTTACCCATTCTCCTTACCTTTCACACAGTCTCCAACGCTCATACACGGAGACAAATAAACAGACAGAGATAATTTCCCTGAAACCTCTCTACTATCATCATCATCAGAGTTGCTGTGTCTCTCTTCCCCATCATGTCTCTCCACCACCTACGGTTGCTACAGTTCCTGTTTATTTTTTAGTCGTACTTCGAGGTAACCTCTTCTGCCAACTCCTCCACCGCATCTCGCCGTCTGTGACCTTCCTCCGCCTCACTGTCCTCTTCTGAACCATCACGGTGTTTGTGATGATGATGCTCCTTCTTGGCGGCCTTCTTACGTGCTTGTCGTCGCTCTTCCCGTTCCTTCGCCCGTTCCATCTGCAGCAGCTCTTCCTGCGTGCGCTGATGCTCTGCGGCTATCTGGGCGGCGATGAAGCCATCACGTTCCTCCGGCGGGAGATGTGCGAGGGTCTCCGCATACGCCGCGGCCTGTTCTTGGCGCCGCTGCCGGGCCTCTTCGGTGTGGCGAAGTCGTTCAGCCTCCCGCGCCCGTCTCAGCCCGACTGCCGCGGCCGCCAGGAGTTCCTCCCACTCGCCGGCCTCCGTCTCGCGGATCGCCACCCGCGGGGGCCCCTCCTCCCGCTCCAACTCCTCCCGCAGCCGCTCCAACTCCCGCACCCGCCGCTGCCGCTGCCGCTGCTCCGCCTCCCGTCGACGGGCCTCCGCCGCCCCCGCGTCCGCCTCCCGCCGCTCCTCCGCCGGTCGGTTGCGCTCCGCGAGAAGGCGGGCGGCGTCCTCGGGCGAGAGACCGAGTCGCTGCAGCTCCTCCAACGTCAGCTCTTTGCGAGCTGCTTGCTTCTTCTTGGGTGGCATATCCCCTGCCGTAGTAATGAGGAGAGGGAGTTACAAAAAGGGAAAGAAAAAAAAAAAAAAAAACAGAAAGAAAGACAAAAAAGAAAGGAGATATTCATGTAGATATGACAAGAGCAACAACAAAAAAAAAAACAACAAAAAAAAGAATAACAGGAAAAAAAATGACAAAAAAATATCCCTGATTTTGCATGGAACACGTGTATTTGGATACACTGTATGAATATATGTATATGTATGCATGTATGTGATGAAAGTAAGTATGCATATCCCATCTGATGGCCATAAAAAAGCAGCCCCGATAACTCATTTTTTTTCTCTAGTATCACTTCTTTTTTATCAACCACAAAAGCACACAATGTGAGAGAGAAATACGGCTACATAAATCCATTACTTCATTACCCATCTTTTCCAACTAGGTTTGCTTTCTCACGGTGACGAGCCTCAAAGGAAGCAACTAGGCTGTGATGCTGCGCTAATGACTTTTCCAAAACACACGATTCATACAATAACACCGAGTCATAACATTTGTGAACAGGAGGAAATTCCGATGTTGTTGTCATTGGTGCATTATTACTATTGCTGCTACTATCAACAGTCATTTCAGTGAGGTTCCCACCAGGACCTTTGTCCTTACCCTCAACACTATTTCCTGTAGTCCCAAGAATCTTTTCAAAACACTGTATAACTGCTGCACGTTGAACTTCACAAGGTCTGTCTGATATCTTAAACGTCGAAGACAATGCACCGTACATACGTTCCATACTAGATTGATTGGTGGCTTCTAGTTTCTTATACTCTAGTGTCGCTGCCGTCAGACGCTCAGAGGGGGTATAATCATCATTTTCCTCTGTTGTTTTTTTGAATGGCATTTTCTCCTAGTTTCTTTTATTATACACCTTCTTACTTTTTGCTCTTAAGAAGATATCTGTGATCTCTCAACAAACGCCTTCCTCTGAATGACTTTTGCCTTTATTAGCGAGACCTATAGGCAACGAAAAGATTAAAAGACTCTTGAAGGGTGAATACAAAAATAAAAATAAAAAAAAAANCGGAAGGTGTGCGGAGAGGGATTTCACCAATATTGCTTGTTTTCTTGTTATTGTCTTTTAAATGACTTTTTTTTTTGCTTGCTTGATATGATATGAAGTTATTTACTTCTTCGTAGTTAAAAAAAAAAAAGTAACTGTTGTTACATTAAGAGAATAATTTCCCTTTTTTAAAAAATTATTTTCCTTTGCTTTAATCGTTTGTTATTCGACTAAGGGAGGAGAAAAGAAAAAGGTGAAACATGATAAATCTGATTATTGGGCTATTTACAATTGATCTATGTTAATAATTTTATGTTTATTGAATACCAGACCTAACGCTTATGAATAGTTCTATGCTATTTTTCTTTTTTTTTTGTTGTTGTTGTTTTCTTTTCTGTGTATTGGAAGTAGTCGTTCTTTATTTATATCTTCCTCTATTTTTCTTGTAATGGTCAAATAATCCTCTTCTTTTCAGTTATATTGTTGTTCATTGGGTTTTTTTTTTTTTTTTTTGTGTGTATGTATATGTGTATCTGTGAGATGATGATATCATGCCAACAAAACCCTTTTCTTTTTTCTCATTTTACTTGTGATAGCGCATTCGTGACTTCTTCCGCTTTGCGCTTCGAAGCTGAGAAGCTTCTTCGCGGGATAACTGTGGAGCTGGCATGTTATATCGTCCCCGTGGTGGGACAAAGCTGCGAACATTCCCATAAAAAAAAGGAATATCTGCCGCATGCTGCGGTTTAGCAAACGGACCTCCAAGAAGAGGAGCACTACTAACACCACTTGTACGATGTAGTCGACGCTGCTTTTTGTTTATTCTTTCTGCAGCTGCAGATGTTAAATTTGTTGTACCATCGTTGTGAAGATACGGTTGGACTGATAATTCCTCCCATCTATGTGCTTCTTCTACTGCTGCCTGAAATACAGGATCTAAAAGTGCACGACGTTTTATTCGTTCCATACCTTCAAAGGATTGACGAAGTGCATCGTCATAACGTGCAACAGCATGTAAAAAACGATTAGATGGAGAAAATGCTCGATCTATCATAGCGTCAGTTACTTCCATTTTAGTCAATTCTACCTTTTTATTGACAGAAGATTTATCTTTAGATGAAAATAATACAGAATCATTTTTTTCACCTTCACTTTTAATTTCACTATCTTTATCAGATGTTTCCGGATTAGATGTAGAAGTAACGTTCTTTGGGAGTTTAATCGTATGTTTAACTTCCTCATAACGTTCCAGAAGACGTAACTCACGTTCTGAAATGTCTTCATACCGTTTTAGTTGAACTTTTTGCATAACTGGTGCAAGATCAATGGCAGGTAAACCCAAGAAAGCATTTTCATATACAGTTGCCGTTAACTCGTCTATTTCACTAACATTTTGTAATGCTTCAATGTTTTGCTCAATGGGAAGAGATGATGAAAGATTTGCTTCTTCTTCTTCTTCTTCTACCTTTACTTCTACTTTCTCCTTTCCTTCATTATTAAAGGATACAGAAGAAGTAGAAGTTAATACATTTCCTTCTTCTTTTCCTTCAGGATCTAAATTTTTTTCAGATGCCTCATCATGTGCTTGTGCAACTACAAATGATTCGATAGTATCAAAATCCAATAAACCCCATTTCCACAATTTAATTAACTCTTCATCACGCATATTTGACAAAATATTTACCCAAGCCATTTCTTTCGCTTCATAATGAGAAATTTCACTACCATTTAACGATGATACCTTAGTTTCTGTGGTTTCACGGGATTCCATTTCTATTCGTTGCGTTTCTTTTTCAACCTCCTGCATCAAGAAATTGACAGTTTCCATTACTTCTTCACGATGGGATGACCCAATACGACCATAGACTAATTGTAAATATCTAAGAGTATCTTCTTTGTTTTTCTTTCGTAGTACTTCATCAGCATCTTGAAAAAGTTGTCTTCGAGCAGTACGATCTTTAGCTTTAACACATTCAATCACATCATGTCCTTTGCAATAAGTTTCACTTGGACGAAGTTTATCCATAAATTCACTTAAACCGAAATGAAGTGATGATACTTCCTTATGTGTAGAAGAAACTGGTTTCTCATTAGCTTTTTCGTTACGCTTTACTTGATCTGAACGCATGCGAGATATTTCTGCTCGAATATTATCTAAGGAAGTTTCAGGTGCTGCTAACATGCTTCCTGCACGAAAAGAAGGAAGGTCAAATGAAGTTACTTGTTCAGTTTCTTCTTTTACCACTTTTCCTCTTCGACGTACAAATCGCTGCGAGCACATCAATGGTTCTAGTCCATTCAATTTCCCAGAATATGAAAGAATGCGGCGCATTCTTTGTCCTCAGCTAAACGGGGAAAAAAGCACATATATATACATGTATAGACATAGCACAATAACAAAAATACAATCAATAAAAAAAAAAAAGAGAGATAAAGAAGTAAGGAAGAACAATTAAGTATTACCACCTAAGGAGAAAAAAATAATAACACATGGGGAAAAAAAATAATCACACACACACGCACACACACACAAGCATATCGTAGATAAAATTCAAATAATGAAAAACGAAAGGATACTCTTTTTATAGATATAGATATGAATTTAAAAACTTTTTATAGTATTTTCCTTAACAGCTGCAACGGTTATTTTTTTCGTGTTAACTACACGATTTTCCATAACCTCCATATCTCGCTTCGACATTACCAAATCTTGCATATCAGCAAGTACAAGAAATGCGGGTTCAGCAGAAGATGGATCATCTTTTATTTTTTCAAATAAAGCTTGTAACGTTTGTTGCATCGCTAACCATTTTTCTGAAAAAACATATGAAACTGAGCCTCCAAAAACACTCCGAGAAGGAATAGGAGAAGTTTCACTAGGAATAAGTGGACCTGCACCACACCAGGATCTCATTAACTCACCAATAAGAATCCAACCTTGTTTTCTTATAACTAATAATGGATGATGTGTTACCACTACCAAAGCAAATGACATAATACTTTCACATAAAATGGGTGCAACATGCCGAGCCGAGGCTATACATTGAACTATAATACATATAGTTCGAAGTACCTCTCCTGGAGTGTATGGATCACTATCACGAAAGAATGAAAAATGATCATCTTCAGCTTTTGCTAAAAGAGTTGATATAAAAAAACTAACAACTTCTGCTAGGTAACTTGAATATTGCTTTTTCTTCTTTTCTACTCTTTCAATTACAGCATTACCCCATCTTCTTGTTTCTTTTCCTTCAGTTACTCTAATTGAAAGGGGTGCAGTTGATTCCGTTGGTATTGGAGGATATATTCGTTTTTGTAAACCTTGATTACTTCGATTTTTAATATTTTCTGAGGTTTCTTGAGATTTTAAAGTAATTTCAACTTGTGATAGATATTTCGCCGCTTCACCAATAGCTTTCGCCATTTCAACTCGTTGAAAAACACCATAATGAGCAGAATATAACATTTTACTTAATTGATTTAATGCATTTTCCGGTGAAACGATAATTAAAGAAACAATATTCAAGTATCTTAACTTCATTAATTCATTATGTCGTTCTTCTGGGGCATGAATTGTAAGTGTCATTAAAGTAGGAATAAGTAATGGAATCATTGGATTAAGTTCTCTACCAATTTTTTTACGTGAAAGCATTATTTCACCATTTACAGTTTGTTCTTTCCAAATACCAAGTTTTTCTTTAATATTTTTTAATGCGGTAAATAATCCTCGAAGTCCACTTTCTATTTCTTGTTGAACTTCGTGAAGTTGAGCATTACTGCTTCTTCCAATTCCCATTATAGCATTATAAGACTCACGTAAAGTAACAAGGATTGATATATTATCTTCTAATTCATCTTGCTCATGTATTGTTTTACCAAAAGAAAATAATTTACCACGATTAACAGTATTTTGGTCATAAAAAACCACAGAATCAGTATTAGATAATTTCAATTTCGTTGTCACTGTAGGATCTCTTCTACAGAAGAATGTAAAACTATCATTAGGATCAAGTGGAAATTCATCTTCCTCTAAATTTCGACGACATAAGATAAATTTTGTTTTATCGTTATCATTATGAGGTAAGTCTTCATTAAAAACTTGTAACGACCCTGGAAGTCTTGAAGGATCAATTTCACCTTTTAACCATTCATTAATAAGTCCTGGAAACTGTTCTAAATTAGAAAATGCATGCAAAGCTTCTTTTTCACCTACAAAAAAAGTTGCAAACGCTGAAGCAACTGTTATTGCTTCATTTCTCATCTCATTTGACCTAATAATTTCAAAACGTTCTGAAACTCCAGCCAAAAGAGGCTGTAATAAGATATGTGGGAGACGTTTGTTCTCACATTTTATCATACGCTCTTTAACATGCAAAAGTATATACAAAACTGCATTTGCCAAAGTGGTATTAAGTTCAACAGAACCTTTTTCAACAAAATCATGACTACCCCATTTGTTAAAAATCTCCTTAAATATATTAATTTCAATTTCTGATAGTTCATCAACCTCTTTTTCATTTTTGGGTTGATCTACAATTTCTGGAAGAATTCCTCGAAAAATAATTCGCAAAACGCCTCTTTCATTAGGCACAGATAATATTTGTGTAATAAATATTTCATCATGTAAAGCATTAAACATTAAAAGCTTATCGTTTGGGATATCACTTTTCTTCTTTGAAAAAGAAATCATCCGAATTAAAGAAGTTACTAATAATTTCTTCAAATTTGAATCTTTTTCTGATGTTTGCAAGATCCATGAGTTCCACTCTGACCAATATAATTTATTATTATTCCTAACTACCAAAGTTCTTTCCATATTTTCACTTGAAACTTCCCAATTTTTAAAACTACATTTAAATATAGCTTTAAACACAAGAGGTATTATTTCTTCTGAAATAATGGAAAACATCTCTTGATTCCTTATTGATAATATAAAAAATTGGTAAAAAACTTTCATATACCCACGTCTAACCATTGTTTGTATCATAAACTCACAAACAAGAGCTGCATTCTGTTTTCTAAATTGATAATGTTTCTGTTTAAAGGACTCTTCAACATTATCAATAGGTGACGTTTTATGAATTACAAGTAAAAAACTACAAAGTGCTTGAGATATACGAGTAATGAAAAGATCTATATCAATTTCAAGACTTTTTGGACTCCAAGATGCATTAATAAGGATATTCGCAAGACGATCTGGAAGTGAAGCTACAAATGTACATTGATTTAAAAGAACTTTTTCTTCAATTGGTAAAAGTTCTCCTTCCCCCAAAGATTTTGCAAATTCTCCAAAAAGCATTACCAAAGGAGTACTAGTAGATACTTCTATGATTTCACCATCTACTTTACAGATAATAACTTCTGGTTGTACATTTAATCCCAATAAATCCATTATTTCTTCAACTGCTTCAGTTGATCGTTCCTCTGCTTGAATAAGTGGTTTTTTTTTAGTAGAAACTTCGGAAAGTTTACATAGAGCTAATTTTGCCTCTTCATAAAGAGGGCCTTCTCCATGTTTTATCATCCCTTTACTCTAATTCTTTTCTTTATTTTATATTTTATCACCCCGCCCGCGCGCAGGAGAAGAAGGAAAACAAAAAAAAAAAA